GACCATCCTGGCTAACGCGGTGAAACCCCGTCTCTACTAAAAAATACAAAAAACTAGTCGGGCGAGGTGGCGGGCGCCTGTAGTCCCAGCTACTCGGGAGCCTGAGGCAGGAGAATTGCTTGAACCTGGGAGGTGGACGTTGCAGTGAGCCGAGATCGCACCACTGCACTCCAGCCTGGACGAGAGAGTGAGACTCCGTCTCAAAAAAAAAAAAAAAAAAAAAAGAAGGAAATTCTGACATGTGCTGCAAAATGGATGAACCTTAAAGACGTTAGGCTAAGTGAAAACTAGGCCAGTTATGCTAAGCCAGTCACAAAAGGACAGTGTTTGTATGATTCCACTTACATGCGGCACCCAGAGTAGTTGAATTCATAGAGACAGGAAATAGAATAGTGGTTGCCAGGGCTGAGGGTATGGGGAATGGGAGTTTGTATTTAATGGATACAAAGTTTCTGTTTGGGACAATGAAAAAGTTCTGGAGATGGTTGGTGGTGATCGTTGCGCAACAGTGTGAATGTACTTAAGGCCACTGAATTGTACACTTAAACATGATTAAAAAATGGCATGCACACACACAAGGACAAATGTGATGGGTCACTTACATCTCAGAAATATGAGTGACATGGAACTGTTTGAGAAGTGGAGCAAGAAATGGGGTCCCCAGTGGACAGGCCTGCTGAGAAATCAGCAAGTAGTCTAGAAATGGGGTTGATTGGTGGACCAGGACAGCCGACTCTTCAACTGACCACAGATAATCCAAAAAAGCTGTAGGGAGTACAGACACCTCCCTCTAAGTAGCATTTGGATAGAGTTGCAGAGAAGTCAGTGGAGTGGGTGGGTTATTCTGTTCTTTGCTTTGTTTTTTTTGTTGTTGTTGTTGTTTTTGTTTGTTTGTTTGGAGACAGAGTCTCTCTCTGTCGCCCAGGCTGGAGTGCAGTGGAGCAATCTTGGCTCACTGCAACCTCTGACTTGCGGGATCAAATGATTCTCCTACCTCAGCTTCCCGAGGAGCTGGGATTACAGGAGCAGACCACCACGCCTGGCTAATTTTTGTATTTTTAGTAGAGATGGGGTTTCACCCTGATGGCCAGGCTGGTCTTGAACTCCTAACCTCAAGTGATCCGCCCGCCTCAGCCTCCCAAAGTGCTGGGATTACAGGTGTGAGCCACCGCGCCCGGCCCTCACCTGTCTCTCTTGTGCCCCCAGCTGCCAGCCCCAGTCGGCGCCATGGCCTCTGCGGAGCCCCTGACGGCGCTGTCCCGCTGGTACCTGTACGCCATCCACGGCTACTTCTGCGAGGTGATGTTCACGGCGGCCTGGGAGTTCGTGGTGAACTTGAACTGGAAGTTCCCAGGGGTCACGAGCGTGTGGGCCCTCTTCATCTACGGCACCTCCATCCTCATCGTGGAGCGCATGTACCTGCGGCTGCGCGGCCGCTGCCCGCTGCTCCTGCGCTGCCTCATCTACACGCTCTGGACCTACCTGTGGGAGTTCACCACCGGCTTCATCCTGCGCCAGTTCAACGCCTGCCCCTGGGACTACTCCCAGTTCGACTTTGACTTCATGGGCCTCATCACCCTGGAGTACGCCGTGCCCTGGTTCTGCGGGGCCCTCATCATGGAGCAGTTCATCATCCGCAACACCCTCCGCCTCCGCTTCGACAAGGACGCTGAGCCCGGGGAGCCCAGCGGCGCCCTGGCCCTGGCCAATGGCCATGTCAAGACTGACTGAGTAGGAAGCGGGTGGGGGGCCTGGGGATCTCTCATGCAACTCAAGGACGAAGAGACCAAGCTGGTGAGGTTGCCCCATCCATGCAGCAAAAGCCCTGCCCCGGCAAATCTCAGCCCTGTGGGGCACACAGAGCCTCCTAACCTCCGCGTGGGCCAGTGTTGGGGGGCCGTGGTCAGGTGTTGGGGGATGGGGTGTGGAGGCAGCAGAGGGACATTGGGAAGGGTCCATGGGTCCTGGCCCAGCTCAGAGGTTGGTGCCAGAAGGCCTGTGGCTGAGCAGCGATAGACTATGTAGTTGACTTTGGAAGCAGCAGGCCCTGTCCTGGCTAAGGGACAATGAGAATGGGGCCACAGGTGGGAGGCAAGGCCTGACCTCCCTCCCTCTGATCTGGATTTAGTTAAGCTTTGGCTGGTTCCATTAGGCAATATTCAGGTGCTTGCTTGCAACCAATACCTCCCCAGGGGCCTGCTGAGCTGCAGCCGAGGAGAGACTGGGCAGCCAGGAGGCTGCGTGGCAGCAACGCTGGTCTGCAAGGGCTGGGAGACCCTCCCTTGGCTCCTCTCCCCTCCCCCAGGGCCCTGCGCTGCTCCCTTGGCCTTCTGGGGCCCCCGTGGTGCTGGATTCCCACCAACCTTGGGCTTTTGGAGGTTTCAATCCCCGTGTGTTCGGTGGCGTTTCCCCCTTTTCTGTCTTGTTTTCAAGGCCTTTACCACTAGCAGCTCTTTATCCATGTCGGTCACCACACCTGCCCCACCCCAGCTCCCTAGCCAGCACAGGAGCTGCGGGAGATGGAGCCCTGAGACACCCCCAACCCCCACCCCCTTACAGCCCTTCCCTCCACTGTTCCCGCTGGCCTGATGCCTGAGGAGTTCCTGAGTTACACCTCCCTACCCCCGGTCTAGTGGGCTGTGGCAGTGCTCCCTTCTCAGTGGCTTAGCTGAGAACAAATGATGCCCTCCAATGCACAGGCAGGCTGGGATAGGCGCTGTGGATCCCCAATGGTGACCTAGAGGTGAGTCAGTTTGGTGGGGAAAAGGCAGAGTTCTAGGTTGTCTATTCCCTGCCTGGTTTATTTTCAAGCCAAAACTGAGCAGTTTAGCTTTCTATGGGATGGAGAAGCCAGGTATCCAGCCTTGGAGACCGATGGAGAATGAGAGGAAGAAAGAGAGGAGGACCTTGCAGCTGTAGAAGGCTCCTTGGAGCCTCCTTTGTGGGAGGGTATCAGTTCTGGTTCTGCCATAGCCCCAGCCCTGTAGCAGAACCTCAGGGCTGCCCCTCTCCCCAAACTCCTCCCAGCAAGGCTGACCCTTTGAGCTTACTCCTTAAACAGTATTAACCCTGCCACACTCATGGGCATTGGCACCTTGATTCCCCTGCCCCACTTTGCCCTGTGACAGGTCCATTGCTGGCAGTGGACAGGTGAAATACCTACTCCAGCCTCCTGGCTCTCTCACTCCTCAAGGGAAAGGGTCTGTTAGAAAGTGCCCCATCCCATGGTACATGGTCTCTTCTTGAGCACAGTAGGACTCTTAGGTAGAAATTAGCCTTCCCCTTTTTATGGATCATTACAAAGTGACGGTATCACCTGTGGAGAGAATGTCCTCTTCCCTGCTGGCTGCTCTGCCTGTACTGTGCCGATAGCACAACCCAGGGTGCAGGGTGTGGTGGGGTGGGCCACAGTTGTGTTCTAGTTCTGAAGAAAAGCTTGCAGACTCTGCCTTTGGCAGGATTTTCTGCAGTTAGCCCTGTCCAGAGCAGAACGAAGGGTATTTCCTAGCCTATTTATTGGGCAGGCTCCTCAAATCCAGGGATGAACTACTTTCTGCAGGGGCCAGCCCTCCTTTTGATTTTATTGTGGCCCCAACTCCAGGGCTTTGGGGGTTACAGAGAATCAGGCTTCTGGTGGGAGTAGATTGTTTTCCATCTATAGATGGAGAAAATTCCAGGAGGAGAATATTGTCTGGCTTCTCCGTTCTCTCCGAGCAATTGTTTCCTTGGTTCTCTCCCCAACTCCATGTTGTCTTAGTCTCCTAGCACCCCTTCAGGCCTTCCATGTGGGCCCCTAGACCACACTACCCACCTTCACACTCGCATTCTACAACTGAGTCCAGTGGCCAGCTTGTTGATGCCTCCATAATTCTCAGCCAGAGCAAGTCCTTGGTTGGCCCACCAGGTCTTGCTGCTCCAGACGTTGCCTTGTGGGCATTCCCTGGCACCATTTACTCTCTGGGTCCTATAAATTCCCAAGTGCAGGAGGTCCTGGGGGTATGCCTCTGTGCCTGGCAACATCCAGCATTGTGTTTCTGCTCCATCTAGGTGTCCCATTTCTCCAATTGCCCTTCATAAGGCATCAAACCTCCAACAAAGGAAGGCAACAACCCATGGCGTGACCACGGGATCTACAGGTTCAGATCTCACTAGGAATAGCCCAGACTTCAACTCTTGCTTTTTGGGTATCAGGTCCCCAATCCCTTAGTGCCCAGGGACTCAAAGTTTGGAATAAACCCAGCCCTACCAAGCATTAAGGGTACTGGTGAGGGCCGGGTGCGATGGCTCAAGCCTGTAATCCCAGCACTTTGGGAGGCCGAGACGGGCGGATCACGAGGTCAGGAAATCGAGACCATCCTGGCTAACGCGGTGAAACCCCGTCTCTACTAAAAAATACAAAAAACTAGTCGGGCGAGGTGGCGGGCGCCTGTAGTCCCAGCTACATGGGAGGCTGAGGCAGGAGAATGGCGTAAACCCCAGAGGCGGAGCTTGCAGTGAGCTGAGATCCGGCCACTGCACTCCAGCCTGGGCGACAGAGCAAGACTCTGTCTCAAAAAAAAAAAAAAAAAAGGGTGCTGGTGGGGAGTGTTTGCTGGCTATTCATGAACCTCTGGTGTCCTGGGCCTCTCTCCACTGGACATGGCAGCATCCCTGAGTTACAGATTGCAATGTGCTGCCCTGCATGGTTGAACTGCTTCTGACATCTGCTAGGCATCCCATGTGCCCTGTCCCCTCTTCAATGCCAGTGAGTCACAATGGCCTATGCTTATTCACAGCAATAATACCTAGGGAGTCCCTGTGAAGCCCTTTTGTCCTGGTCCCTTGCTCTGCATGGGTCTCCTGGGGAGGCAGCTGCTGAATGGGTCGGTTCATAAGAACCTGCATTTATGAAGCCCTGGGGTGTGTAGGCATCACCCTGGGATGCAGACAGGTGAGAGGCCCAGCCCTTAGGGGAGCCATGGCAGGGAGAGTGCCTTCCACCCTGAGGCCACCCAGACCTGGAGAAGCTGCAGGCCCCAGCTCTGCTAAAGGGCCTTTGAGGTGGGTGGGACTGTCTCCCAGTTGGGCAGCTTTTGAGAAGGACACACGACCGGTTTGTGAACCCATTGCCTGCTCTGTGTCTCCGTTGGTCCCTCTGTCTCTTCCTTTTCACATTTGTGCACATAAAATATACTGGTGTTTGTGTTCCAGGACTGGCTCTGGCCCATCTGTTTTTCCTCTTTTGGAACCACTTTCCCAGGGGCTCCTGGAGGCCAGGCCCTTGGCACCCTGGCATCATGCCCTCCTGAACCAAGAGGGCTATTGGGTGGGGCTGCCCCGTGGACGGGGCAGGTGACACTCCCTGCCAATCCTTCTTACTGTCTCTGCTCTGACACTCTCTGGTAACCTGAATTCACACCCTGACCCCAATTCTCAGGTAGCATAATGTGATCCAGGCCTTACTTTGGTGCCATGCACCCAGGCAGAGGGGGATCCCAGGCAGTATCCAGGTAGACTGCAGGTTGGCTGCAGGTGCCCATGAGGCGAGCTCCTCCTGGAAACACCAGCCATGACCTGGGACATCTCATGAGGCAGGAGGGACCAAGCAGGGTGGCTGAGGGTACCCCCAAAGACATAGAAGGCCAGAGCCCTTTACTTTGAAAGTGATGTTACATTGAAAGTCATGCTTTGAAAAAATAGCTCTGTACTCCTCTGTGGCAGCCCTGTTTTTTCAGAGAAGTGCATTTGGAGGGAGTAATCTCTCCCCCGTTATGTACCTCTGCTCCATTGAGCTTCCCTGTCCTCCTACCACCACCACCACCACCACCACCAGGCCTCTGCCTACTTTCCTACTTCCAGGAAGAGGATGGAGGGTTCAGAAGTTGCTCAGTCAGGCTGGGCATGGTGGCTCACACCTATAATCCCAGCACTTCGAGAGGCTGAGGCAGGAGGATTACTTTAGCCCAGGAGTTTGAGACCAGCCTGAGCAACATACAGAGACCACCATCTCTACCAAAAAAAAAAAAAAAAAAAGCCAGGCATGGTGGCACACACCTATAATTCCAGATACTCAGGAGCCTGAATCAGGTGGATGATATGAGCCCAGGTGTTAGAGGTTGCAGTGAGCTATGATTGCACCACTGTACTCTAGGTGACAGTGAGACCCTGTCTTGAAGTTGCTCAGTCATTTCAGCTAAACGCAAATGGCATGGGCCCCCTGTCACAGCTGGGTTATAGAACACCCGCTGCTTTTCTGGATGGAGTAGACAGTGTGCTTTCTAAATCATTAGGAGGGCCCTCTGCCTCCCTCACTTGAAGGTTTTCATTTCTTTGACTGAAAGCTTTTTCCCTTATGAAAATGAGCTAGCATAAATCCCCAGCAGTCATTTACATGTTAGCATAAACAAATGTACAAGGTAGTTCTCTCAGAACAAGATTTTATAGAAAAAAGAGGCAAGCAAAGTGAAACAGGGTCTCCTTTATGGAGCTTCAGAGAAGAGGCAAGAGGCAGGTCCCCAAGCGAGAAGACCGAGGGGGTCCAAGACCCTTTTTAAAAAATTATTATTATTATTATTATTATTTGAGATGGAATCTCGCTCTATCACCCAGACTAGAGTGCAGTGGTGCAATCCCGGCTCACTGCAACCTCCACCTCCCAGGTTTGAGTGATTCTCCTGCCTCAGCCTCCCAAGTAGCTGGGATTACAGGTGCATACCACCAGGCCTGGCTAATTTTTGTATTTTTTAGTAGAGACGGGGTTTTGCCACATTAGTCAGGCTGGTCTCGAACCCCTGACTTCAGGTGATCCACCTGCCTCGGCCTCCCAAAGTGCCAGCTACTTCCTGACTCTACTCAGTGGGCTCCTGCCTTTCTTGACACTTCCCTTCCTCACCTCCTCCACCCCTCCCTCACCCAGTCCACAGGGCACTAACAACACTGTGTTGAGAGAAATGCCCCAGGAGAGCTAACACTAAGGACTTCAGCCACATCTTCTGAAGTCTGCCCGGACTTTGTGAAAGCCTAATGTTTACTGACAGTGAGTACATGACCGCAGTCTTGCCTGGTCCTCCTGGGTGCCTATCTCAGAAGGCTGCAATGTTTACACTGCCCTGGTACAACCAAAGGAGGGAAACAGAGGAAAAGGGAGCGACTGATTCCTTATACAGCAGGTTAGAGGAGCCAGGTCTTTAAAATTGAAACACTGGCCAGGTGCGGTGGCTCACGCCTGTAATCCCAGCACTTTGGGAGGCCGAGGTGGGTGGATCACCTGAGGTCAGGAGTTAGAGACAAGCCTGGCCAACATGGTGAAACCCCATCTCTACTAAAAATCCAAAAATTAACTGGGTGTGGTAGCATATGCCTGTAATCCCAGCTGCTTGGGAGGCTGAGGCAGGAGAATTGCTTTAACCCAGGAGGCAGAGGTTGCAGTCAGCCGAGATTGCAACATTGCGCTCCAGCCTGGGTTACAGAGCAGGACTCCACCTAAAAAAAAAAAAAAAAAATTGAAATAGCAGCTGTGGTTCCCAGGCTAGCCTCAAGACTGCCAGTACCGTGACCGCGGCCAGGCACAGAACTTGGGGCCCTACATGCATGCTCTCATTTCTTCCCATTTCAGATGGCCACCATTATTTCTCTATTTTACGGGAGAAGTCTGTTGGCAAAGAGTTGGCCACCCAGATTTACCACATTTCTCTGCAAAACACTCTTTTGTTCAATATAAGCAGAGACCTTCCACGGGGGGCAGGATTTGTGGTGAGTCCAATGCCCCTTTGTACTTGATGAGTTTCTGGATGCCTTTTGAGTCCAGCTCATGTAGGTGCTATTTGCAGTTAAATTAAAATGTTTGAGAATGGGAGGGAAGGGAGAGAGAGGGAGTTATAAGAAAGGAGGTGTAGAATGCCATCTTAGCCAAGACTTAAGACAATTGGCACAAAGATCCCACCTCATGGAGGAGAGCTGTGAAATTGTGGCCTCTACCAATGCTGAGTTTAGCTTTGATACCCTTTCCCCTCCCTCCCTCCTACCCACCCACAGCCTTCTTTTTGCCCTGGGCCTTTTCTCTTTCATCCTATTTCCTTGTCTTGGCATGAAACCTGGGCCCCTGGCTGTCAGTACTCTCAGAGTGTTTGAAACTAACAGCTGAAACCTTTCTCCTAACAAGATAAGAACCTTCTGCCAGTGCCTTCTGAAAACCCAGATGGAACTGAGAACTCACCTGTTTAACTCATCAACTCTTTATTAGATACCTACAGTGAGCCAAGGACCAGGCTGGTTCCTGTGATGCTGAAGATATTGAAGGGAAGCCCCTAACATTACAATGTTGACCAGTCCTCCAAAACAGAAGCTCTGACAGAGGACCCTGGCTGTCTACAGGGTTGGGTAAGGATTCTTCCAGGAAGAGACACTTATTACACACTCAAAGGTTGATAGGTTGATTACTGATACTTTCAGAGATAGGCTGGAATCTTTTTTTTTTTTTTTTTTTTGAGATGGAGTCTTGCTCTGTCACCCAGGCTGGAGTGCAGTGGCACGATCTCGGCTCACTGCAACCTCCACCTCCTGGGTTCAGGTGATTCTCCTGCCTCAGCCTCCTGACTAGCTGGGATTACAGGCCCGTGCCACCATGCTTGGCTAATCTTTTTGTATTTTTAGTAGAGAAGGGGTTTTGCCATGTTGACCAGGCTAGTCTTGAACTCCTGACCTCAGGTGATCCACCCGCCTTGGCCTCCCAAAGTGTTGGGATTACAGAGGTGAGCCACTGTGCCCGGCTCAGGCTGGAATCTTACTGTCCAGAAATGCAGACATTTACTGTGCCCTGCCAGTTGCCTAGCTGGGTACAGCGCCGAACACAGCAAGCACATAGTGAGTGCTTTAAGAAACTCTTGACAAGTGGAGTGTTAGTGAACCCACCCTAAAGGCCAGGCTGAGTATTCCGGAACACCAGTTCCCAGGCTCTTTTGGGAACTTGAAGCTAGGAATCTATTTAGACAACAACCATCCATGCCATTTCTGTACCCACCACCATAGAGCAACTCACTGTCCTCCTCCCTGTTTCCAAACCATTAATCCCTGCAGAGTCCTGCCAGCATGTCCCTCTTAGAGTCTTCCAGCCTTGACCAAAGATCCAGCTCCACTGATCCGTCCATTGTTTCATTCTGGTAATACACTTTCTTGGTTTGGGCAAAGGCAGCCTTTTAGTGCCAAACAATACAGAGAAGGAGATCCACAGATGATATGGTCTGGCTGTTTGCCTCTGTCACGATTACAGCTTCTAAACAGAAGGGAAATGTTCTGGTTTAGAAGGGTCCACCAGATGGTGAAGGGTCCTGGGGCTGAAGCTTCTTAGAGTATGGGGTTGTATTAGTG